ATTCTTAAGTAACTGGATTAATGTATGTGAAGGGAGTGAGTCTTAAAGGTCACACAGAATGAAAGCAGTTTAAAGATACCACTGTGAAAGTGGGAATGTGAATTTTGTTCCAGGATTCCATCTAGGATATCACATTTATTTGTCATGTCTCCTTAGACTGTTCTTGGCTGTGACACTATTAGACTGATCTTGATAGTTCTGGGAATATTTCTTAGGGATTTTGTAGCGTGTCCTGCAGTTAAGATTTGTCTGATGTTTTTCTCACTGGAGGTATGTGTTTTGGGGAGGAAGATCAGAAGTAAAGTGGCACTTTCATCACATTTTATTAGGGGTACATTCTGTCAACATGACTTACCAGTATTGATGTGCCCTTTTTTGGCTGGCTGAGGTAGTGTTAGTGAGTTTTGCTGTGAAGTTAGTCTTTTTTTCCCCTTTTCATACTCTGGAAACAAGTCTTTGCAGTTCACACATAAGGCATGGAAATCCATGAAATTTTTCAAGTATGAAATGCCTTAAGTGAACCTTTTTCAAATGTCAAATTATAATTTTTTTTAAATCTAATTCTCTTACAAAGATTTGGAGAACTGTGACTGGTGTGACTCAGTGGATTGAGCACCTGCCTGTAAATCAAAGGGTTGTCAGTTCGATTCCCAGTCAGGGCACATGCCAGGGTTGCAGGCTGGGTCCCCCAGTAGGGGGTGCTTGAGAGGCAATCACACGTTGATGTTAATCTACCTCTCTCCCTCACCCTCTCCAAAAGTAAATAAAATCTTTAAAAAGAAAGATTTGGAAAGTAGATATTCTAAATTGGTTAAGGATAACTGAGTTACTCAGATGATGGGTGTACACAGTATTGTTCTCAACAGGTTGGATTACAGTCACAGCACCCAAAGCTACTTGTGAGAAAGCTAGTATTTTTCTCAAGGGGGAAAAAAAGTTCAAAATTTTCCAAATACATACTCAGTACTTTTTTTTTTTTTCATCTTAACACTGGGAACATTTCTGCCTTCTGCCCTTAACCTACTTCTCTTCCTTCCTGTATGAATTCCAAACAGGGACAGAACATACCATCCTCTTGATGCGCACTGGAATCATTGGATGTGGTGTGATATGGGTAATTCAGAAAATCACGTTTGATACAAATATATTTTTTCTGAAACTACAGAAAACAAAGTTTGACAAATTCATGGCTGTTGGATGTAGAGAAGATAGAGTAGGGTAAAGGTGAGGCAGAATGGTCAAAAATGAAGGAGAAACACTGACATATATGCATTCATATAAACCTAATTGGCTGATACACATCTCAAGGTTTTAGATAGACTTTGCTCATGATAAATCTTTATTTCCAGCTCAGAATGCAAGAACCATATTTCCAAGTGCCTAGAAGTCCCAAGGATAACTCACAATTTCCATGCTGGAAACTACTGTTTCCAAAGGGGTTTCTCCTTAAATAGCACCTCCATTCAAACATTCATTGAGCCTGAAGCCTCGTCATTCTTCACATCATAACCGCAACCAAGTCCTACTGATTTTTCTTGCTACACATTGTTTTTTGTCTTTTGGATGAAGGTATTAGTGTACACAGGATAGTCTATGAAGCGCTATGTTGCTCCTCCTTTGATTTGGGCTCTGGTTTCTTTCCTAGACAGTTGCAGTCAACTAGCTGGATTTCTTCCTCATATGTATTCTCTTCTATATTAGATCCACACTAATCCTCTCCCAACTTAAATGTGACCATAGTTTGTAAGGGAATTTACTTTTCACTGTGTGCTGTGGTAATAGTGAGTTGCCACACACATATTCCCTCTGCCCTTTTAGCTTGCTGTTGCGTTGGCGTGTTGTGTTCTTTCCACTTACTACCTTCGAAACCCCTGAACTCCACCCTCCAATTCTTGTATAGCATAGGAAGCAGTTTTTGCCTCTGATGGAACACAGCATACTTCATTATAATTAATTTGTTTGCTTCCTCATTCAATTGTATATTCTCTGTAAGGATTATGATTCATCTCTATTTCCAGCACAGCCACTGGCACATACTATAATACTATAATAGAAGCTCAAATGTTTGTTGACTGACGTATGAAGTAAGTCAGTTGAGAGCTTCGAGTTCAGTATCAACAGAGAATGCTATGTTTGTTAGAAAAATGTAAAAAATAGTAAGAGCTAGAATTTCAGGTAAGAAAACTCTGACATCTAAAATCTTTGTAAGTAAAGAAGTGCTATGTTACATGCAGGTGACATATAGAAAGCAATTACAAACTTTATTTTCTGTGGAGTTGCTTTTGACTCTCTTGCCCATCACTTACGTTCATCACTGGGAATATAATACTTGCGTTAACAGATATCAAATAGGTCTTTCCAGAAAGCCAGGTTAGGGTTGGGTGGAGAGTATTGTTTGAGCTTGGTATTTACTATATCTGGAAAGACTATCTCCTTTATCCATGTGAATTTTATTTTAAAAGTGAATTTCTTACTAAAGTAGAACTTGGAATCCGTTTTACCATTATAAACAATACTGTTTGTGGTACTTCAGTTCTGAGACTAACTCAGTAAGCTTCACCCTCCCCCGCCAACAGGTTTATTGAGCTATAATTCACATACCATGTAACTTGCCCATTTAAGATGCACAGTTTTTTTGTAGTACATTCACAGGATTTTGCAACCATCACTACAATCTATAATATTAGAACATTTTTGTCTGCCCTAAAGGAAACCTCTTACCTGTTTCTGCACTACCCCACCTCAAGCCCTGAACAACCACAAATCTTATTTCTGTCTCTAAATTTTTCTATTTTGGACATTTCATATAAATGGAACCACACAGTAATATCCTCTATTTGGCTTATTTCATTCAGTATAATGTTTTCAGGGCTCTCCCATGTTGCAGCTTATATCAGTACTTTAATTTTTTTTTATGGCTATGTAATATTACATTATAGGGACTATACCACATTTTGTTTCTCTGTTTTATCAGTTCATGGATATTTGGATTTTTTCCTACTTTTTGGTGTTTATCAGTTAGGTTGCTATGAACATTTGTGTATGAATTTTTGAGCAGATGTACATTTTTGGTTCTTTATATATTCCTAAAAGAATTATTGGTTATATAGTAACTCTGTATGCCTTTTTGAGGAACTACCTAACTGTTCCTCACCTTGGATGGACTTTTATACATTTCCACCAATGACAGAATTTAAAATTTTTAGGACTGTGACCTAGATCGTACAGTTAGGTAGTTATCAGGTTTCATCCAGTTTTGTCTTCACGCTAACATGAAGCAGTTTGTGACAGCTATTTCAGTCTCCTCTTTTTAAGATGAAAGTAGCAGAAAGTTTTCTGTGACAGTATCAGAAAGCTTTTGACTGCCTCTTTTGATCCTAATTTGGGAAAGTATAAATTCATAGGCTTATGAAGGTTAATCTCATAGGATTATTGAGAGTATTAAATGAGGTCATATTTTAATGCCTAGTATGTAATAGACATTTAATAAATGGCAACTTTTGTGTATGTTTACCATTTTTCATGTGTGCAGTGTATACCAGTTGGCAGAAGGCTTTTAATTGGCACATCATTTGAACCAAAGGATTAAGAGAAATCTGAATTAAACAGTTTCTTTGGATGCTAGAAATCAGGGTGGGCAATAATGACCACTAAAGGCATATATGACATTTCTCAAAACACTTGGCCTCAAGAGAGAGTAGTTGCTTTTAGCACATTTGAATGGCATCTGAATATTTTGTGCTGACTCCAGAGTGCTTTAGGTGTTATTTATTCAAAAGTGATTCAGCTAAGAACAGTGCAACAGATGGAGATGTGTGTTCTGAGGAAGAAATGTGCTAAATGTGGAGATGTGTAATGAGACCCAGCTGAGAAGTATGCATCTATAAGGTGAAATACCCTGGCGCTTATCTTTTGCACGCCACTTGGAGCCACTGTGCTGGAACCTGCCCGCTGTTCCAATGTGTAGCCCTTGAGAAGAGGAACATCATGTCTTGGGAATATAGATCCCTATTAAACTGTCTTTTGTTTATACTTCCTGGAACATCATGATAGATTAGAAATGCAGCTATGTGTAAGACATCGCAAGAATTCACACCTCTCTTTTGTGCCCAAAGTTAAATCCTTGGCTTACTCACCTTTCAGCTTTGCCTGCTTTGTCCACCAGTGTGCCCAGTTCTTCATGCTCCAGAACCCTTCTTTCCCTTACTCTCTTAGAGCAGTTGGGCTGTAGTAGCTCTAGATATTCCCACTACAGAGAATGAGCCAGACATGATGCTGATTGGTTTCCAGTCTCATTCTTTGGGCTTCTGTTTGCAGGGTTGCCTATCTTTTTATGTGCCATTGGAATTCTTTGGAAAGGAAGCCTTGGATCCCTTCTCACATATTTTAAGTGTAAAGTAAAATGCATAACATTTCAAAGTTAACAGGTTATATTGAAGTACAGTCATTGAAATAATATTTGTATAATATGTGCTTCTATGTTGACACATTAAATATCATTTAATGGTTTAATAATGATTGTAATTTCAAAGCAGTGATAAATATAAACAGTATTTCAAGATAGTTGTAAAACACTGTAATGCAATCTTGAAGCAACTGGTGTCTGTTAGAGACAAATTCACAGGGACTGATAATACTCCTGTGGTTTGTTGCTAACATTCAAAATCAAAAACAATGTTCATTTTCAGTTTAGGTTTGTAAAAATAAATATATAATTTGGCCTGTCCAAGCTGAGGACACCTGAAGATCTTAATATGCTGAGGTTAAGCATACTAATAGGTTAATCTTTTACACAACAGTGTATGATTGTGGTTTTTCATAAGTATAATAGAATTTAAGTAGTTGTATATTTCCCAGTCCCTCTTTTCCTAGAGCTCACATTGTGATCTTTTTTTTATTCAGCATTAACTGAATGTGGAGCCAGAATTTATGCAGAGCATTAGCCAGATAGCATTTCTCTGTACTGCCAGAATTCTAATGAAAATTCTTTGGTATTACAGGAATACAAGCGCAAATTAGCCAGAGTTTCCCTGGTGCGCAAAGAACTCAGGTCCCGGATCCAGAGCCTGCCAGACTTGTCTCGATTGCCCAATGTCACTGGCAGCCACATGCACCTGCCCTTTGCGGGGGACATCTACAGTGAAGATTGATGACCAGTCTCTTTCCAGGGCCCAGGACTTTGCAGGAGATGGAGACAGGTTAGGTGGATAGTCCTGTAGTGTTATTTTTGTATATTGTTGAGAGTGACACAACAACAACAAAAAATGACCAGTAATTTATAAAATTGTTTAAAATGTTGGTTTGTTTACTATTTTCTTGGTAAGTTAACATGACTTAGTTTAAACAAAGTGATGATCTCTGTGTATTAATAAGTTCACAAATAGTGATTATTTTCAAAAGATCTTTTGTAAATTTTTTTGATCCAGGGCCTTGTGAGAAATTCCATGTTTCTATTTCTTCATGTTATTTTCAAATGCTTTTCTTTATTTTCATTTGTATCTAATCACTGTATAGTATGTAATTTCTAAAGGGTAAGAGCTAATCAGGAGTTGGTTGAGACTTGATTATGGTATAGTTAGGACTTGATTATAGAGGAGACTGAGTGTTTCAACTTAATCTTCACCCTTCTCCCCGACCAAAATATCAGTTCTGTGCCTCTCAATGCCTTGATTCCTTATTCCTTAGAGGTCAGTAATTTAACACTAAACATGGGTGTCATTTTTAGAGTCTCATCAGAGCTTAGAGAATGTTTCCACTGTAGCACCGTAGGGGTCCATTCCAACTGCCAGAGTAGAATAAGAGGAGTGTTAAATAGGGACCCCCTTGATTAAACTGTTTAAAAATAGTTGATTAGATTAATACGGAATGCTTGGGAAGTGTTATAAATTTTGACATTCTACCAACAGGACAGCTTTCATTCTGGAACTGATTTCTGTCTGTCAGATCAGTCTCCTTTTAACATAATTGATCCCTTTAACATAAAGCCATCTGTGGGATTAAGAGAAACAAAATAATGATACTTTTATTATTCCCATAGCCTTTAACTTTAAAAACTATGGTATTTTTAGCTCTAATATCTCAAGGACACAATGCTCATTTATGTTCATTAAAGTAGCCTGGAACACTTTTAATGTTTCCTTAAGGTTTTGAATGACTGTATATTTGGAAATTAAGCAGTGCTGCACTACAGGGTAGATCTGGTAAATATTATATTTGTATATTTAGAATTACCAAAACAATGTACTTTTACCTTTTTTAACCCTGTGTGTTAGAGCAGTTGCATGCTCTCCTGCTTTCTTCTTAAATCACATTATTAAGCTATGGATTTGAACTCAGTGATGACTTAGGATAAACGTTTTTTTACTCATTACGTATTGGACATTTTTCTTTTCATTGTAAGCAGATTCAAATTAGATAGCCAATAAAACATCTTTCAATCCCACAAGCCAGTTATGTCTCAGTAGTCTGAATGGCTTCACTCTTTCTTCCTCAGTATTAGAGATTATAGTTAAAAGGAATTTATATGTGAAGGAGAATGCAAATATTTATTTTTAATAGCTAATAGTTCTGGAAACAGTGCTTTTTAACAATTTGACCCCTCTCCAAAACAGACACATACAAATGGTTCCCATTCATATATGGCGTATAGTCCAAAGTTTTTAATCACCTTTTGGGAGCTGGGGCACGTTTTCTTACAGAAACAGTTGTAGTTAGGTTCCCTGTGAACACCACTACAGAAAACTCACCTGGGAAGCTAATGCACTTAAACATGATGTAGTTCATGTTGACATAAAGTAGTTGACACATTATTAATAGTTATTAATAGTAGATCCTGACCAGCATTTGTAACATTCTAACGTCACTCTAACTGAGGAAATGGTGTGTAGCGGCCAGACCATGTTGTGGGGTGTGTCTGGTGTACCTCTGTCCATCCGTGTAGGATATGTAAGAAAAAGATTCAGCTTGGCGGGTGTGTTTAACAAATGCACAGTTATAAAAACCTAGTTACCTGTTATGAAACTATATCATGTAAGTTTTTTTTGTTAAAGTGAAAGCAAAAACTTGTATATTAATTTATTTTCAACATCTTGACCTATTTATGATATGCTAAAATGGTGATTTATTCATTCAAAATATTTTTTTCCATTTAAAACTAATTTATAAACTGTACTCCTGGAGGATCTGAACTCTATTAGAAGTTTGTTGAAATGTTTTCACCATTTAAGATAGACTTCTGACTTAGATACTGATTTTAATGCCAGTATCTGCTCTAAATATTTATTATAAAAATGCATTATTTTTTTAAAGAGCTTGATGCAATTTGTGATAAGTGATAGTACTCACCCTGAATCCTACCCCCAATCCCACCCTTTGACCCATCCTCCTCAAACCTTTGGTGGTTGGTTAATTCACTAACTCTGAACACAAATGGTATGGTGTGGTTTAGAAGTTATATTTTCAGCCTTATGATACTTAACATGGTAAGCCTTAGCAGTAAGTAGTCTTCTTCTCTAAAAGGTAGAGTACTTCTCAAGAAATGGGGTTAGATGGGGGTATTGACATACCAGATTCTAAATCATGAGCATTTTCTCCACTGTGTATGTGAGGCAAATCATGCATCTCTGAGTGCAGTTTGGCCTGGCCCCTCAAAAGAAAAGCGTATCACCACACCTGCAGTAGGGGTACTATGGTTTGAATGGACACCACCACTCTTTTCTCCACAAACCATGCAGACAGCTGTTTGGAGTGGCAGTTTGAACAGATTCCCTGGCATTCCCTCTGCTCCTTCTATCACTACAGTAAGTAAAAGAACCACATGGGGGAACCGGGGAGTCTGAGAAAACCAGCTCTGCTCAGTAGCCAACCTCCCCTCTAGGAAAACCAGCCCAGATGCAGCTATTTTGGTACCTTTCCTCACATTCACTCTGAATCAGGGTTTTTCTATCAGAACTCCTTCAGAATCAGCAAAAGCTGGGATGACCCGGTCATCTTGATTTGCAAAATTGAAAGAACAAAACTAGATTGTCACTTGTCACTGTAGATGAGCAACTCCTCTATTAGTTATTGAACTGGTTCTGGAAAATCTTTAGAATGAAAAAAATGCAAATACAAATTAATTGGGAAAGTTAAAATGTCCTTTCTGAAATTTCCATTGTAAAAATTGATATATGAAATAACATAAACTACTAAACTGCTTTGTATTCTATTAAGAAATAGCTCCTGAAGGTATACTCTTGTTTCATAGCTGTTGCACTATATGAAAGCTTTTTTTTTTTTAAGTGTAAACCCAGTTCTCTGTAGAAAGGGAGCATTGAGTTACCTACTGACTTTATTTATACAGAGCATTTGCTGCCCTCTGTAATTCCAGCCATCCACACGTGAGTCTGTTCTGAGGTGGCAGTAGCACATAGGAAGATGAAGTTTCCCTGTTTCTTTACCCCTATTTGTTTGGCTGTATCTGATGACAATATAAGATGTTCTTAATAAAGTTTTATGTTCTTTTTGAAATGTGTAGATTATTTTGGTGAATCTAGTTAATTGGATATGGGATGGGGAAGGGAGGAAAGTATTGGAAGTATTCAGCAATGTTATGGTGGAGAAATGGCTGAAGGAGAGTCATTTTGCTTGGCAGGTGATTCCCAAATTTGAGGAAACATTGGAGTCACCTGGAGAGCTTATTAAACTACAGGTTGCTGGGCCCCACCTTGGGGCTTCTGGGATAATTAGTGTACAATTCTAACAAATTGATTACTACAATTTGGACCACATTTTGACAACCTGCTGTAGACCAACTGTTGAAGTCCATGACTTACTTCATGATTTAAAATTTCAGGCAATTAATTTCAGGTGATAAAATAATAAAGTATGGATTTTGTAGTTCATTATATATAGCAGGTACCTTATGGGCAGAAAACAAGACCAAATCTTTTGTGACTTGCTCATTAGTGCTTAAGTGCTTTTGAGTGAACAGTTCACTTACCACCTCGAACTCTTTTGGAGAACAGGCCCTCTCACCACACCTTGAATTTAAAGCAGAATCGGGGAACACTAGAAAGATGGGAATCTCTGGCACTGTTTGCCAAATTCTCTTGATAAGACTCACTTGGGACATTTGCAGAAGGGCACATACCACCTGAATCAGAACTTACTGATTCTTATCATTTAGAAATTCTAGGAGACTTAGTCCTCTGGCCATTGCTCTGGTTGTCCATTCCTGGATGGAGGAATTGTTTAGCTCTATACCCTATAAATGTAATTCCAAGATATTGAAACAAAAACCCACAACATGGATACTTAGCACCATTACCCAATCTTCACACGAGTTTGTATGATCTTTTCCTAAGTTCAGAATGAAATGATGATAAAACTAACCTGAAATTACTATGATCTAATGAACTGTCTGTAGAGTTTATATTTTTAAACGTTAAGGATTCAAAGACATACTTTAAATATTATAAATTATAGCTATTTCGCTGTATGTGTGTGTGTAACTGCATATTAAAGTTAGTAAGAAAAAAAGTAAGAAAATGTCTTAAAAACTGGTAGGCTGAAAAGAAAGATAAAATACTTTATGTCAAGACAAGGTTAAAAAGACTGAACTGAACACTTGTACCATTGCATTTCCTTTTTCGTGTTAACTTTAATGACAGTAAATAACTGTGCCCAAGATTTATAACCAACCATTTGGGATGTCCATTTTATAAACGTATGTTGGTTCCAAACTTACGCTAGTTTCCATCCTTGAGAAAAGTAGAAGATGATTTGGAATTACTCCAGAGAAACTTGTGTATGTAAGCCTTTTACTTACAACTATGGATTGAGCCATTACAGGAAGACCCAACTGAGGCTGGAATTTCATGAAGGGAATTCATAGATCAAACTCCCCTTAATTTCTAGCACCTACATGCGTCCTCAAGAAAGCAGTCACCAAAGTCTGTCACTTGTTAGAAAATCAAACTGTCTTGAACTTAAAACAACTAGAGTGAAGATATATTAGACAATTGTCAATAATGTTAAAGACAGATTATTCTAACACTTGTTAACAGTGTGTGGAAGATTTGATTCAGACTTTTGTGATAGGTAGCAAGACTCTCCCAATAGGAGAAAAAGATGAGGCTCACCTCCGAATATGTCAGATATCTGGGTGTTTATAGCCAAGGAGCAGAGCGAGGGGGTCAATGGATGTAAAATTACTAAGAGGAGGAGACATCAAGGGCAGGGGGATTCTTGATAAACTGACTTAACATGATTGTTGCTGAAGGCGATCATGGGTAAAGGGTGGGGGAATTCTAACTCAACTGGCTTGGTAGGATTCTTGCTAAAACTAGGTTAGGGAGGCAAAGATGAAAGAGGGCTCAGAGGAGCCTGTCCAAAGTCTGGTCAAGAAGAGAGTCTTTGTCAATATAGTAACAGCAAATACATTTTTACAAATACCTTAAAACAATTGGCCTACATTTTGAGTGAGGCACATTCAAAGAACGACCACCGTAGAGTAATGCTGTATTTTGTTATTCATCTCGTGGTTTTATTTATTGGTATTGATAAGCATATTTTTATAGATTTTTTAAATCAGTTATGATAATAGCATAAACTGCTTGAACATTTTCAATATGCCATCACTCTTCTAGGTGTTTTTCAGTGTACCCTTCTCACTGAGTCCTCACAGCATCTTTATGAGGTAAGGACTGTCACCCTCATTTTACGTATAAACAAACACTCAAAAACAAGTAATTCTTAGAATTAATTTTAATTAAAGGAATAATTGTATAATCAAATTACTAAAGAAGAGATACTGTTGTTTCCTTGAAGGGTTAAGATATTCAGGTAGACATTCGGTAATATTAGACTTAATTTTTAAATATGAGAACTCAGGATCTTCAAGAATTTATCTTTTGCCAGCTCTGCCTCTGGAGTGGTCTAGTGTAGTGATACCATTTCTATCCATTAGTAAAAGTATTCCTAACATCCTTTCTCGCATTACGACTAATTTTTGCTCAAAAGTAGCAGGGGTTTCTTGGAGAGTGGCTGCCTACGTGTCTTTCTTAGGCCTGAGAAAGGAAGATCCTGAGACTTTTTCGCAAGAAACCAAGGAGGATGCTTTCAAAGTTCAGAGGGCATTGAAAGAAGTCAGCTTAGCCCTGGCCACCTTGGCTCAGTTGGTTGGAGCATTGTCCTGTAAACAGAAAGTTCATGGGCTCAATTCTCGGTTAGAACACATGCCTAGGTTGAGGGTTCGGTCCCCAGTTGGGGTGCATGTAAGAGGCAACCAATCAACGTTTCTCACATCGATATTTCTCTCCCTCCCTTCCACTTCTCTAAAATCTATAAGCATGTCCTCAGGAGAGGATTTTTAAAAAGCCAGCCTAAATGGGACTCCCATTGACCATACTGTAACAATTCAATCATTGAAATAGAAAGTAAAATGTACTTAATTAAAACAAGTACACAATGCAACATACAGAAGTATTATAGAATTGTACACTTGAAACTTTTATTAACCAATATCACCCCAATACATTTTTTTAAAAAAGTCTGTGAAAAACATTGTCTCCATAATATTTTTTAAAAGAAAAATTGGGATTTTCTTTTCAAGTAACTAGAATTATATGCAAATGGACTTTTATTCAGAAAAGTCCCTATTTATCTTTAATTGTAAGTGTAGTCCCAGGACAAATAGAAGCACACTGAACACTTTCTAACCAAACTACACTTTGGAGTTCCAGCCCTCACAGAGCTCGGGCTGGGAGGCACACCAGTAGCAGTCTCACCAGGCCTCCGTGGGAGAACAGCCATGTGGAGGCAGGTACAGGGTGTTTTCCAAGGCCAGCAGAGGCAGCCATGTTGGGCTTGCGGTCAGATTTGAGCATTTCTCTGTGTGTTATACATCAGTGAATGGTTTATTGAAAGAAAAAAAGTGAAGAGAGAAAGGATCCAGTAGAGGGAGAAGCTGAAGATGTGGAACACAGACTCGTCCGTTGACTAAGGGCCCTGAGTCAGAGGAGGGGCCAGACGGCCAGGCTGGCTGGGTGGGGGCGGGTGGGGGGCTGCTGCTTCCAGCAGGAGAGAAGCGAACAAGGGAAGCACTCGTGAGAAAGTGAGAGAATTGTGCTTTAAAGCAGAGCAATGTCTCATGCGCAGTAGTATTTTGAGTCCCAGTTGGTCCTCTGGCACTGTCCTTCTGGTGCTGCACTTAGGAATATTACTCAGTTTTAAAATCTGAATAGAGATCACATTAAAAGTCACCATTGTCCTGTTTGCAGTTAACGTTGAAGGGGCTGTGCTGAGGAAGAGAATGGTGGACAGCATGGAACTAGGATACGCTGCAGATGGTTTTTGCCTACAGATTGCCATCAGCTCTGTGACACCAAAGTTCTTTGTGACACTGAGGCAATTGTTAGACCTTTGTCCCCTCCTGCTCCTTTCCCACCCTTTCCTGTTGGTTTTCTCTCAGGGTTCTGCTCCCACCTCCCCTCTCTGACTAGAGAAGGCCTCCTTTCCATCCTCAGGATGAGGGTGGCTGCCTTTCGCATAGGCTTGGGGCAGTGCACGGGGTCAGTGGTGCTCTGGGCACGTGTTCCTGACTCCACATCTCATGACTGGACAGGCAGCCCAGAGCTAAGTGGAGCTGTCTCCAGGAAGCACTGCAGTAGCTGGTAGGCTGCATCAGCCTACGAACAAGTCCTATGGCAACAGGATGGAGGGCCAGGAATCAGAGCTGCCCGAAGTCAAAAGTCTGAACCCTACATCGCACATTTGCTGCTTCTCTTCACGTGACTGTCATTTTCATTTAGACCTAAGTACACTGTAATTTTTTAAGGTAGTAATAGTTTTCATTTTTTAAGAACAGCTTTTACATACCATAATTTGCTTTTTAAAGTATAGAATTCAGTGACTTTTAGTATATTCAAGATTGTGCAACCATTGCTACTCATTCAAAAACATTTTCATCACCCTAAAACAAAAAACCCAGTTCATTAGCAGTTATTCCCCATTCCCCTTAGCCTGAGGAAACCACTCATCTACTTCTATGTATTTTCCTATTCTGAGCATTCCCTATAAATTGAATCATATTACACATGGCTTTTTGTGTCTGGCCACAGACACAAAAGATTCCAATTAACATGTTTTCAAGGTTCATTCATGTTCTAGCTCTATCAATAACTCACAGGCTGAATGATACTCCTATATGGATATACCACATTTTAGGTGTCCATTCAGCAGTTCGACATGTAAGTTATTTCCACTTCTTGACTATTATAAGTAATGCTGCTATGAATGTTCATGTATATGATTTTGTAAAGACGTGCTTTCAGTCCTCTTGGATATATGAGGCCTGTCTGGACAAAGTCCAGCCATTGTAAATGTAACGAGAAGAGTTTGTGTGACATTGATGTAACCTGGCAAAGGAGAGTGGACTGGAATGAGCTTGCGTGAACAGTAACAACTTCATTGCACTAGTCAGTGGGGGTGGTAGATGCCATTAAGTGAGCATGTGTACTGTGTGGCAGTTGCATTCAAAATGAGCACGTAGAGCAATGAATCTGCATCAGATTTTGCATTAAGCTTGACCATTCCTCCATGGAAACTGTTGGGGTGATTGAGAAGGCTGCACGACAACACACCCACACATGCATCATCTTGTGCAGTTTTTTGGCAAAACATCAAATCATCCAGGTGACTCAGCCCCACTACAGCCCAGATTTGGCACCCTGCCACTTTTGGCTTTCACCTTTGAAAGGGAAGAGATTTCAGACCAGTGAGATTCAGGAAAATACAACAGAGCAGCTGATGGCAATGGGGAGAACTGTGTGAGGTCCCAAGGAACCTTCTTTGAAGGGGACTGAGGCATCATTGTCTTGTGTACAATATTTCTTGTATCTTGTATGTTCTTCAATAAATGTCTCTATTTTTCATATTACATGGCTGGACACCTTGTATACCTAGGAGTGTACTTGGCTGCTCTTTGCTTGTTTTCTTTGGAGACTTACCTGCTCAGACTTTTTTGTCTTTTAATCGTTGAATTTTAAGAGTTCTTTATAATTCTGGATATAGACTCCTTAACAGATACATGATTTGCAAGTATTTTCTCCCAGTGGGTTATTTTTTCACTTTTTTGATGGTATCATCATTTGAAACATACAAGTTTTTAATTATGAAGTCTAATTTAACTAGTTTTTCCTTTGTTGCTTGTGTCTTTGGTATTATATCTAAGAAACCATTGCTTAATCAGGGTATGAAGATTGAGTCCTATGTTCTCTTCAAAGAGTTTTATGTCCACACTACAATTTTCATTCTTTCTTTAGAGATACCCAAAGATCCTTCTGCCAAACGGAAAAGAAAGTAAAGAATACATGGTGTTCTTCCTTTGCAATTGAAATAATGTAAATAGCTCCCATGTAGGAGTTCCTACTTTTACTACTACTTATTTACATCCCTGTCATGTGGCTGGAGAGGATGTTAGTTCTAAATCTAGTGTGAACTAGTGGGCTAAAGAATTGGAATTTACAGAGCTTATGCTAGGTGCTGGGCAGGAAACTAGGTGCTAGGGGCATAACTGAGATCACCCAGACATGCAGACCAGTTCACAGGCAGTCAGGGACACAGTCAGAAATAGTAAACTACACAGTCGTTAGCACTGTAATAAGAGTGTGGCCTTCATAATGCAGAGGGGTTGGGTAGACAGCATTCTCCAAAACCAGGTGCAAAGGCCGACAGCAAGAAGACAGCATGTTCTGAGAACTACAAAGAGCTCGCTATGTGGGTAAGTGAACAGAAGAGCAGGAAGAGTTCAAGAGAAACACATGTTCCAGTGACAAGTTAGCCAGAAAGGTACTGTATTTATCATGACTAAAGTATTACTCTAGATGCTGTGGACATAAAGGGAAGGCCTAGCTCCCGCAGCCTGTGACTCCCAGTTTTAAAGTTCAGAATAATGACTCTCACCATCCCTCTTTGATGCTGACACTTTAAGTGTAATTCACTTCACACAGCTACAAGACCAACTTGTTAATAACTTTGGCCTCTTACAGTTTCCCAGGCCCTATTGGAAGAAAAGTAAGTTTTAAACTTGAAGCAGCAGAGAGACTAAGAAACAGATTATAGTTTTAAGTACCTAAATTATTTATTTAAAGGTTTAAAAAAACAGATTGAATAAAATTCTTGTCCATTATTTGAAAAAAGCTTATTTATGTTCCAGAGAATATTTAAGACAGCTAAGCTATTATGCTGTTTTATTCTAGTGTAAATTTTAGACCTAGAAATAATAAATTTTAGACTTTACCAGAGCAAATGAAAGGCCTCTTATGGTGAATTATTATCAAAGGAACAACAGAAAGCTGTAAAAATGAAAAATTTGGTACCCAACTGAATCATCTACAATCAAGAATATTTACTTTTGCATGCAAAATAGGAATAATGTTCAAATTTTACTAATATACAATTATGCAAATGATTGTGGGAAAACAAGCACACACATACTTGATCATTTTTCCAAATTAGCATTATAGACACCTAGAAAAGAACAGACCCTCTCATACAGGTCTGAAGTTCCTTATGAGAGAAAATGACAAATAATGAAAGCTTAATTAAGGGAGGAGCAAAGAGTATAACCATTCAATGTCCATATATATCTTTACTACTTACAAGGACCATTCATCTATTTTTGATTCTCAGAACTGCCCTGTGAGGTAGGCAGGTTTATTAATTCTAATGAGGTATTTTCTCCATAAACATTGAAGAATGCCAAGAAAAGTTTGCTTCTGGACCCAAGTTTTCATGTATTTAAAGAAAAAAAGTTTATAAAAAGCTGATTTTCTGACTAACTTTAGTTTCAAAAATTGTATTAAACGCATCTTAGTCCATCCTTTACAAAGAAGATAAGAAATTTCTGAAGTCCACCATTGAATTCTTTTGGGATTCACTCTGACTAAGCAACATTTTTAGTTGAGAGAAGTGTCTCTTTGTTTTGTTCACAGTTTTTGAGGAGCAAGTGGGTGTTGACTGTCCAGATGTAGGTGTTCTGAAAAGAAACATAAAACCAATACCGACAAATGGTAGTTTAAAGAGTGTTCTTCCTCCTTATCCTACATTGCTGCCACTAGAAACATTTTCTACTCTTCTTCATTTTGGCCACATAGGAGCAATGGCTTCTCCCAGCAGTCATCCCCGAAAACCTCCTCACCAAATAGGCTAAGTTCTATTGATTGAGTGGTTCTGGAAGCTTCTGACAGCAAGATTCATGACAATGCTAAGCAAAGACTTTGAAAACGTATTTCTTTCACAGCTCAAGACCACTTCCTTTCTTAAAAATGAAGGACCTCAACCACACATGTAGGTACCATTCCATTGTATCTTCCCCCAGAATGTATGCTCCAGAAAACAGGCACTTTGTACTATTAATTGTGCTTTTTAACAGTGCCAGGTACAGAGGAGGCCCTCTAAATATATCCACGCAATAAATGATTCCCTGTTTGGTATGTGTATATTTATGCCTCATTCTATTTTATTCTCTTGAATTGGGTTCCATCCCCCAAGCCTTGACTTGGGGTAAGCCAGACCCCTTTTCTGCCTCCCCATCTATAAGATAAATGTGAAATATCTTTCTCATTCCTGCATATGTTTAAGAAGCAGTCTGATCTAGATGCAAGTACATAATTTTAAATACATAAAATTTCTTTTTATTTACTTTTATCCAATAAGTGGAAACGTCCATGCTGAATTCCAAATAATACCAAATATCAGAACAATTAAATCAAAAATATAGAGGAAACTGGACTTGAAATTTTAATTCTTACCCAATAAATCCAATATTAAAAAGTCAATTCAGTAAGCAGAGATAATACAGTCCTTCCTGAATTTTGTTATTTATGTTCAAGAAACTACCAGACTCAGTTTCTCTTTTGCAAGAAATGTTCAAAATTCCTTTCACGTTTCTATGGAATTAAATGTATTGACTATCACAGTGACTATAGTATTGAGAATTACTAAAACTAAAACATGTGTCCAGTCATAGTTACTTTGGTATCACTTGACAAATCCCTATCTAGTTAGATCCCCACAGGCACTTCTGTTAGAGGAAATAGCAAGAACAAAGAAGCAGGAAAGTAAAATTGTGAGCTGTTCAGTTTTGCTGACACACAGGATAAATTAAGGCAAAGTAAGACAGGCAGACAGATTGGTGCCAGACAGGGCTAGAAAGCCCAGCTGCAGCATTTGGACCACATGGAACAGAGTGAGGTGCTTCTAATCAGAGCTGTGCTTCAGGAACATATCAGACTAGAAAGGTTTAAACTGGGAGACTCAACAAAAGGCAAATAAAGACCTGAGCAGATAGCAGCAGTGGGGAGAAAAAGGAGAACAGATGTAAACACCACAGAAGTAGGATAGGTAGGAACTGGTGGCTAACTGGACAAGTACCAAGGCAGTAGTTGTCAACTGTACTCGCCATTTCAGGTCAGGATGTCTAGAAGGGCATGTTTATTCACTGAATAAGGAGCTTAGGGAGGATGGGCAGGCTTGAGTAGTTAGCTGTGGGGACCTGTAGGTGGATGAAGAGGTTATATTTAGCAGGCAGATGGGAACAGGGAGAGGTTGGAAGTAGAGGAATATACCTGAAAGTCACGCAGGGGTGCAAATGAAAGATATGGAAGTATATGATACTAGAGAAAAAAAAGGTATAGAGGAAAAAAGAGCCAAGACCCGAAATGCATGGTGAATTTACAGAGTGTATATAACAGAGGAAATTTGAAGGAATACTCATGAGTTAACACTGGCAATTCAAATAGCTTAATGAATTAAGATACCTGAAAATCAATGCTGGGCTCTTCTTGCCCTTGGAACCAGACATGGTATGATTTAAGTTTGCAGAACTGGGAGTCTTCCTTTCTGGTGTCTTCAGGCTGAGTTTACTTGTAGGAGTGGTAGGATTGCTCTTCAGTGCTGACAGAAAGCTTCTACTTTTACCATGATGTTTAACTGTTTTGTTGCATGTTTTACAAGTAATCGACTACCATGAGAAGAAGAAGTATTTGGTGTCATTTCTCTTATAATTTACTCCAATAAAGTACAAATTCATTATATTCTTATATGCAAAGGAATAGTCCAGATACTACGGGGTGAGTAACAGACTGACTTCAGGGAGCTTGTAACTAGCAGCAGGAAATCAGACAAAACACAAATTTAAAATGAGAAAATCTCCAATAAAAAAATTAATGGCTAAACATTTGTATTTAATTTAAAATGGCTTTTAGAGACAACAAGTCTCTACTTTCCCTTTGTAACACCATGTTTAGGGGGAATGGAGAAGGAGACTGGGAATGAAACCATTTAACACCTGGATGGTTCTGTAGAGCACCAGTATACAGTTAACATTTTTTTGCAGATGAACTCCAAGCCTTTTCCCAATAAAACATGGCAAAATATTACTGAAAATTTAAGTGACTCCTTCAAATCCTTAGTGATTCTGGAAATACAGGTCTAAAATAACTTATAAAACCCATCAAATCAATTTTCATGTTCTCATACTTCTTCACTTGATTAGCTCTAGACGTTGGTTTCTTTTCAGAATTAATTTTTCAAGAAATGGTCTGTTTTCTAATTAAATGCCTTTCTTTTGCATACCTGATGCTCAGGATTCAGCCCAGGCCTCAGCAAGATTAATACAGACTAGTTTAGCTGAGAAGCATTCTGATGTTCCTGAGCAGATAAAAATGAAAATGGAGGATCTGCATGTATCAAAGGTCTATGTAAGTTGGCTTGTATCCTTTGAAGAGGCTGGATATAGATCAAATAGTCAATTTTATGACAAAGCAAAATGCATTTACTGGTCCAGTAAGCTCCTAAGTATGGCAGTTCCAATCCAAGTTAGGACTAGTTGGAGTCCTGCGCCAGGCATAAGCTGTCATAATGTCCAGCGCCCAGCACAGTGCCTGGTAATGATGTATCTGATACTGTTCTCCATATAATAAACCCCAAGTAATTTGATTTTGGTGGGTTTATCCCATTTTATATGCCCAATATTTAGCATTATTTGGCATAAGATAGACCCTCAATAAAGGTTTAATGAACGAGATATAAGAGATATTTACCTGTATAAACTTGAATACATACTCCATGGAGGAGACGGTGACCAAAGAAGTGACACTGCTACCTAACAAATAAGCTACTGCTGTTTGAAGAAAAGGACCATTCACTGAAAAAGTAATTTAGTGGTAGCTGCAGGTCAGGTGATGTCACACTCGTCAGCTCAGGAAATCCTCAAATTCGTAAAAATAATCGTGCTCAGCAATGAGTTCTGAGAACAATTGAGAGCTCATGATAATTTGGTTTTAAGTAATTGTAAAAAACAAAAATAAGCTGTACTCTTGCTGAAACAGCAATCACTAGAAAAAAATTATGTATTTTGACAATCTCAACACACTATTACAAATTTCTGAGTAATGTTCAGACTGATATTCTTAACCTCATTTTAAGTGCAAGAAAAAAACTCAAGTTTAAGAATTAAAATCTTACCAATATACTTTTGGAGTTTTTGTACTTTTCCAAAATTTTGGCTTCTTTAAAACTGAGTGTGTAATTTCTCGCTTCGCGATTAAGAAGTTTCTGTGTCCTGGATGTCAGTTTGGTCTTGGGTTTGAGGCGTACTCGAGAATTATCCAGAACCAGCAGCTGGAAGCAGTATGGACATGTTCCTTCAAAAGTGCTGTGAGCATCTAAAATTATAAAAATTAAATTCATGATTCAACAAATCAGAATATTTTGTTATCTGAAACACACTGCCCGTATTATAAATATGAAAAAGAAAGGTATAGGCAGATACACATTATCCTTAAGTAAACTCAAAGTATGAGAATTTATTAAAAGGTAAACTGGCAATAATTTATCTTGCAAAACACTATATCCATTCACTCCTTTTAGCAAATTCCCCACACTATTTCTCATTACTTGTACTGAGTAAAAAAGGCTGTATGTTTCACCTATTTTACAAACACATTTATCACAAAAGAACAAAGTTACTTTTTTTCTTTTTGAAATAGCACAATTTTATAGTTTATGGGCTGGGTTTTGTCTGCAGGTAGCTCAGTACAAGATAAAAGACACCAGACTTGCCCCCTATCCTTTATGCAATCAAGAAAGCATTCACTGACCATCTAGCATGCTGATGCTTGACCCAAACATGGACGAGAAAGAGTTGCTCTCTTTAAAGAACTCGCCTTCTAGGGGAGCCCTAAACGAATGAAGGTAAGACTGGGAGGAACTGTAACAGAATATGTAAATGCCCTGGAAATTATTAAACTCTGCATGGACCAGCCAGAAACACTGCAAAGAGAAGGCTTGACAAAGTTTGTCATAAATGACTACATTCTATTTGTATTTGGAGGTGGCAGTGTGAGTACAGCTAGAAAAGAGGTCTTTTACAGACAGGTAACGGTCTTTCAGGTAGAAGTACAGTGAAAAAGAAAGCATGGTTATGGAGGGGAAGGTGAGTCCATGAAGGTGATGTAGCTGAAAGGAAGGTGAGCTTCCTTTCAACTTATTTATTCAATAAATATTTATTGGTGAGCACAGTGCTAAGTCCTAGGGATACAACAGCACTACAAAGAGGTAAGCACCATGCTTGTAACTTAGCTCTGCCAAATGTAAAATTCATTTGTATTTACTGACTGACTGTTAAGTAGCAGGCACTGTTCTGGGGGGATGGAGACACAGCAGTGAACAAAGGACAATTCCTGGAGAAAGACAATAAATATAACAATAACCAAATGTTAAGTGCTGGGAACACAGGCAAGGCGAATAGGGAGTGTGATGGGGCTGCAGTAATCTTACATATAAGGGAGCCAGGGAAGGGTTCGTGGAGTGACACTTACAGAGACCATAGAAAGGGACAAAGCCAAGAGGACATGAGGTAAGAGTTCCAGAAGGAAGGGTAAAAGCTGTGAAATGGCCTAGCAGTGGTTAAAAGTTAAGTGAACAAAAGTGAACACAGGCCAGCATTACCTCTTGAGTCAAAGTGTGCCAGGACTCTGCCCTTGGACTTCTTTTCTATCTTTGAGTCAAAGAGGTAATGCTGGCCTATGTTATATGGCTTTGTAATCCTTTTAAAAGATTCTAACTTTGAGATGGGAAGTCATTTGAGAGTTTAGCAGAGAAGTGACACGATCGAGCTTAGGTGTCTTTCTTTTTTAAATATCTCCTTTATCTTTTATTGAGGTAAAAACCGCAGCAAGAAATCTACATTTTTTTTTTTATTGTTCATATACATTTATCTCCATTTTCCCACCACCACTCTCCCCTGCCCCACCCGCCCCCATTGCTTGGGCTTCTATTAGGCTCACATTGTCTGCTGGCTTGAGAATGGCCTCTAGAAATGCGTGGGAACCGCGGGCAATACTCTGGGAGAAAGACTGGTGCCTTAGACCCGCTGTTAAGATGAATGTGTGAGAAGTGGCTAGATTACGGATATACTTTAAAGCCAACAGGATTTGCTGGCATATTGGTTTGGGTAGGTATGCTGTTATTGAGTCAAGAATGGCCCCAAGGTTTGGGGCTGATTAATTCTAAAGAGTGGCTTTGTTTGCTGAAATGGGAAGAACTGTGTTGTGGGGTAAAGCTTGGGTTTTGGCCTAACAGATACTCAAAAGTTGTCCAGAAGGCCTCTGGGTATCAGCCTGAAATTCGGGGGAGAGGCCTAGGCTGGGGATATAAATTTGGAAGTCCTCAGTATACAGAATTTAAAGGCCATGAGACTGGATGACAAACTGTCACCAAGGGAGTGAGTGCAGTTAGAAAAGAGGTCCAAGGGCAGAGTCCTGGCACACTCCAGCATTTATAGAGATTGCGGGATTTAGGAGGAACAAGTAAAGCAGATCAAGACGCACTGGCTAAAGAGGTAGGAGATGACCTGGCAGTCAAGTGAGGAAACCACTTCAAGAAGACTGATCAATGTGTCAAGTGCCGCTAATAGGTCAGGCAAGTTAAAGCACATTAAGCCTCTGCAGTGGGTTTAAGAAGGCGGTGGGTAGATGAGGTTTCTCTTTTGGATCATCCTGAGTGCGGAATGGAGGGGTGCGGGGCGATGAGAGCCTGACCCACAACCGACGGGCGTTCTCCCTACCGTTTGACGAACTGTAGGCCCAGCTGTAAAAGAGAAGGAAACTCGTGAGGAACGAGATGGCACCTCCCCGCTCGCCTCCCGCTTCCCCTCCCTGCCGGGTCTTACAGGAGATAGCGGGCCTGGCCCGGGCAGCTGTCGTGCAGTTCCCGAGCCGCGGCCTCTAGGTAGTGCTTCTGCCTCATCGTTGCCGCCGTCCCCACACCTTTAGGACCTGGTGACAAAGGAGACTCCGGAAGCTGGGTGCCCGGCAGGACGAGCTTTAATGGCAGGATCCAAGCTCCCTCCGGAAACCGGCGCCCTAGATCCGGAGTTCCGGATTCTTAAGCGTCCGTCCCGCGCGCCGGCCGACTCTCTCCCCGCCCCCTGGCCCCGCCCCCGGGCCCAGCGAGGATTCTCCTCAGACACGAGCCTGGGCGGATCCGCTTTCCGAGCCTTGGCAGCGCTGTAGCCGGCGGAGTGTCCCATGGGTTCCTATGTCTTTCACTCCTGATACCCTCTTCTCTGATATCCCCATTGTCATTTCCTCAGCACTTGTCGCCCTCTATATTTGCGCGCTGGGATATTGACTGACCTTGGCCGAGGCCCGAGGGCCGCAAAGAGGCCTCCGCCTGTTCTAGGCACGTGCACAAGAGGCCCCCGCCCCGCCACCGTCTCTCTGTTTTTAATTGAAGTGAAATTCACCCAATATAAAAAGTGAACCATTTTGCCCTGACAGGTGAGGCTTACTTGGTTGGGCGTCGCACCACAGAGGTAAAGGTCGTCGGTTTGACTCCTGGTCAGGGCACATGGAAGGGTTGGGGCCAGGTCCCCAGTCGGGGTACGTGGGAGAGGCAACCGATCAATGTTTCCCTCTCTTTCTCCCTTCCCCTCTCTCTAAAAAAAAAATTTAAAAAAAATTTTTTTAAGGTAACTGTTTTAGGGTGAAAAATTCAGTGACGTTTAGTACATTTACAATGTTTTACAAATACCAGTGTTACCTACTGCCAAAACATTTCTATCACCCTAAAGGAAACCCCATACCCATTTAGCAGTTGTTCCCGGTTTTCCCGTCCCTCCAACTCCTGGCAACCACTAGTCTGCCTCCTGTCTCTATGAATGTACCTGTTCTGGACATTTCATGTACTTGTGATCTTTTGTGTCTGGCCTCTTTTACTTAGTGTAATGTTTTTGAGGTCCTTCATCTTGTGACAGATATTAGAGCTATGTTCCTTTTGACGTCTGAGTAATATTACATTTTATGTATACACCACGTGTTGTTTATCCATTCATTTATTGATGGACATTTGAGCTGTTTCTACCTGTTGGCCATTGTGAATGGTGCTGCTGTGAACACATCAACACTTATTTTTTTATTTTTGTTTTTTAATTCTAACCATCCTAGTGGTTGTCAAAATATCTCATTGTGGTTTTGATTTGCATTTCCCGAATGACATTCAACATCTTTTCATGTATTTTGTTGGTAATTTGTGTATCTTAGGAGAAATGTCTGTGTTAGTCCTTTGCCCATTTTTAAATTGGGTCATTTGCCTTTGTGATTGAGTTTTAAGAGGTTTTTTTTTTTAAACATAATCTAGATACTAGATCTTTATTTATCCTTCATTTTTAATTTCAGAAAGGAGTCAAATGATACAAAGGCTTGAAAAGAGAAAGTTCATAGTTATATCTATATACACATTTTAATTTTTCAAAAGAAAAGTTATGCCCACTCTTCCCACCTTCCCATCTTACTTCTTTGAGGTGATCAACTTAGCAGTTGAGGATCTTCTCTGCCTGTGTCCTTCCACACATAAATACAAGTATGAATGTATAAAGACCACTATTCACCACACATGACATCAAAAAACCAAAGCATACACAAAATACCAAGACCAAAATGTCAGTACCTTACTACAACACTTGCCTTTTTTCTTAATAACAGGCCACAGCCTCCTTTCCAGGTCGGTATAGGTAGTTCTTTTTAACAGCTGATGTTACAGAATGTAATAAAACAATTTATTTGATAATTTTCTTATTGATAGACATTCAAAAATTTTTTAGTGCTTTGCTAGTTCAAACAGTGCAGTAGCAAACCTTTTGTATACACTGGTGTTTTTTATTTCTTTTGTCTGAATTCCTAAAAGGGATATTACTGAACAAAATGATATGTACATTTTTTATTTGTCAGATCATCCAAAAAAGATTGGGACAATTCATACTCCCAGCATCAATGTCTGAGAAAACTGGGTCAAATTGGATGGATGAAAAGGCAAAGGCTATTGGTTCACCTAAGTACTGGTGAGATAAAGCCTCCTTTCACATGTTTCTTGATGGTTTGTATTTTCTTTTGTGAAGAGAAATGTTCTGTTGGTTTGTTTATCAGTTTCTAAGAAATCTTTGTATTTTGAGGAAAATCATCTTCTGCATGTCATACATAATGCAATATTTTCTTACCGCTTGTCTTTGGCACGGTTTATAGCATTTCTGCCATACAGAATTTTGTATGTGGTTAAACTTTTCATTATTGGGTCTGGGTTTTCTGTGGAGGTTAAAAAGGGCCTCATTTATGCCAAGTCTAGACAACTATTCATCCAGATGTTTTTTTCATACTTTTCTAGTTTGATTTCTTCCATACACATTTTTGATCGCTATTGAAATGCATTTTCACTTAAATGGAAGGTAGAGCACCTAACTAGCTTTTTTTTTTCAGATGGGTAGCAAGTTATGCAAAGACCTCTTACTAGGTAAATTTGTCTCTTTCCTTGGAATTGAAGTAAACAAAAAAGATACAACAACACTGAATATGTGCCACGCACTTTTCTAAGCATCTTGTTTGTATTAATTCATATACTTCTCAGTCTATCATATGTAAGCTTTTTTAAAAACATAGTTTCATCTCTCCTTAGATTCTTTACCAATAAAACAGGAAGGAGGAAATGCATATTACCTGGATGCGCAAGTATTCCCTTTGCCTCTTGGCACATTTTCCATCAGCTGTTCCTCTTCTCTCTAAGCACAGCACTCCTATATTCAGATGCCTCCTAAGCATCTCTGCTTGCATCGCAGCTTGTCTTCTCAGACTCAGGGGGACCCAAAAAGCACTCTGGATTTCTCCCCCACCAACCTGCTGCGCTGTCGAGTTTCCTCCCCCTCAGCCCTACCGAGCCTCATTGCTGCGCCTTCTCTTGCCCCTTGTAGCCAGTTCCCCACCAGATGCAAATCAAGACTCTGCCCACTTCTCTTCACTCCTTGGTCACCGTGCTCCTTGGCCTGCACCCCTACCATGGCTCCCTGAATTATTTTTCTGGTTCCTCGCTTGCGTTCCTTCTCTCTCCGAGTCTGTTCTTCAGAGGGCAAAGTGGCCTTCTTAAAATATAAGTCACTTTTTGGGACATGGAGTGCCCCTGCTCAGAGTCCCCTCCAGGCTCCTCATTAATTTGGAATGCAAAGTGCCTTGTGCTCTCCAGGGCCCCACATGGCTGGCTGTTGCTTCACCCCAGATCTCACCTTGCCACACTTGCCCACCCTCACCCTGTTACACTGGCCTTCATGACTCTCCCAGTGAATGCCATGATAGAACCTGGTGAAAAGTAAATAGTAGCAGGCTGATTAGAGAAGAGTTGGAGAACGAAACGGGGGGGGGGGGGGTTTATCATTTTTGCGGCTTTGGTATTTGCCAACCTGAATGCAGTGCAGCCTGAAGCCCTGAGGCAGTCATGGAATGTGTACATACAGAGCTCCAGGGAAAGCCCTTTAGTTCTGGCTGAGTACCAAGAAATGCCTAACACCAAGCAAGAGAGTGTGGAATTCTGCATGGTTTTTTTTTTTCCTTTCTCTATTTTCTTGAACCTCCGCCCCCAAACCATTTTGTGGTGACAGCAGCAAAAGCCACACCAGAAGCTAGCAAGAGCAAAAACTCTGAGGGAAGGGAACATTCCCCTCCAACTGACTAATCTTTATCGCTTTCCCCCCTTTCTGTCTGTCTTCCATCACTTGGCCAAAGATAGGAGAAGTATACCATGGTGGAATAATTTTCTGGCCCCAACTTCCTGCCCATAAAACCAGAAAGGGAAATTGTAGGGAGCTGGGAAGTACCGGGGAGCTGGTGGAGAAAGAGGCACTCTCCCACAATGCTGAATATGAACTTCTGGGCTCATATGAACCAAGCTGTGCACACACGAATCTGATCAGTACACCAGTGACTTTAAGAATTCAACTAGGAGACCATTGGTCAGGCCCTACATGCTCACTTAATGGTACATATTCAGGATCTATCCAAATGACACTGCAAGAGCCTTGAAAACTGAACTTACATTTGAACCACAGCTCACAGAAGATGGATTGAAGCTGTAGCCTGAACCTAAGCAGGTCTATTGCCTAAAACAAAAATATATACATGTTCCATAGGACTTAAACAAGATCTAGAATCTCAGTACCTAATACTCAGCTTTTTTAATCCTCACCTGAGGATATGTTTATTGATTTTAGAGAAAGAAGGAGAGACAGAGAGGGAAACATAGATGTGAGAAAGAAACATAGATTGGTTGTCTCCAATTGGTTTTATTCCACCAGGGGATAAAACTTGCAACCTAGGATGTGCCTTGACAGGGAATCAAATCTGCAAACTTTTGATGTGCTGAGTGGTTCTCCAACCAGCTGAGCCACCCAGCCAGGGCTCATTACATAATATTTAAAAATTTCCTGGAGACAACTCAAAATTACTTGGCATATGAAAAACCAAGAGCATATCAACTCACATGAGGAAAAACAATCAAGAACAACCAGATTGACATAGACATTGCATTATCTTTCAAAGACTCTAAAGCAGTTATTGTACAAATGCTCCAACAAGCAATTATAAACACTCTTGAAATGAGTTGAAAGTTGGCAAAATTTTCACATGGACCTCCCTGTAGTAAAATATTTTAGGCTTTTTAAGCTATATGGTCTCTGTTGCATCTACTCAGTTCGGTGAAAGCAGCCACAGATAGCCATAGACAATACATAGACAAATGGGTGTGGCTGTTTTCTAAGAAAACTCCATTTGTGGGGTTTGGCCCATAGACTATAGTTCATCAAACCTGGGATTATAGTATTGTCTAGATAATCTACATATTTATTGATTTTTTTATTCTAATTGTTCTATTAATTATCAAGAGCAGGGTCTTAAAATCTTTCACTATGATTGTGGGTTTGCCTATTTCTCCACTTAGTTCTGTTAGTTTTTCTTAAGATATTTTGAAGCTCAGATATTAGGT